GGGGCTGGGGGGCCCCGGGAGGCAGCGGGAGCGGATGGGGGAGTTCAGGTGGGACTGGAAAGTGGGATTTGTGTGGGTCGGGCCACCGGCTGTCCCTGTGGGTGGGTGTCGAGGCGGGGACCCCGTGGGTCCATGTGGGGTGGGGTCGGTGTTGGGAGGGGGTCTGAGCGGGGATCCGTGCGGGGTGGGGGGCGGTGCGGAGTTCCAGGGCTCCGTGCAGGCGGGGGTCGGGCCAGGGTTGCTGGGAGTCCGTGTAGGTGGGGTTCGGGGCGGGAGCGGGGGTCCGTGCGGATCGAGGTCGGGCCGGGGGTCTCGGGGGTGGGGGAGTAGGAGGGGTGCAGGCGGGGGTCGCTATGGGGAGGATTCGGGGCAGAGGTCACGGGGGTCCGTCCGGGAATCCCGGGGGTCGCCCCGCGTCCTCGGCGCTGCTGACGGCTCGGCTCGGCTCAGGAGCGGGTGGCGGAGCTGGAGCGGGAGATCGGGGCGGCGGAGGCGGAGATGGCCCGGTGCCTGCGGGAGTACCCGGCCCTGCTGCGGCTGCGGATGGCGCTGGAGGCGGAGATCGCCGCGTACCGGTACGCGAGGGGGGCGCGGGGGGCACAGGGGGCGAGGGGCTTAGCCCGGCCCTTCTTTTTCAGGGAGATGCTGGAGAGCGAGGAGCTGCGCCTGGGCGGCCTGGCCCCGCCTTGACTGGACCCCCGGAGCCCCGGTACCACCACCGGATCCCGGTCCTGCCGTTACCACTGGACCCTCGGTCCCAGGACTGGATCTTCAGCCCCATAACCGGACCTCGGTTCCTCCGCCGGACCCCAAACCCCCGACTCCGCGCCCACGGTTCCCTGGGAACCTCTGGAGCTCTCTGGACTCACGGAGCCCCGGTCCTTCTGCCCCCGACCCGTTCCACGGGTCCCCCGGACTTCTGCGTGCCCGCCTGCCCCGGGACCCCCGGGAGGGCAGCGCCCGTGGGGACGCACACTCACCAGCCTCTCCGGGGTGGGGGTCCCGGCCCAGACCCGTGTGGAAGCACCTCAATAAAGCCCCGTGGCATCACCCGCAGCCGGCCCATCTGGAGGGGGGTGGGCAGCACCCCCGGCTGTGCTCCAGGGGTCTGTGGTGGGGCAGGGGCGTGCGGGGCTCCGTGGGGAGTGGGCTCATGGAGGGGTGTGGGTTTCCTCCTGCCTGGTGCAGCCCCTCACCCCCGAGCTGGGCACTGCCCAGGAACACTGAGGGGGCGCATTGTGAGGCTACAGCTTCAGTAGAAACTGAGCCCCTTCAGTAGTGATGGGTGGCCATGACCGTCCCCACTGTCACCGGCACTTTGGGGGTCAGGATGGGATCTTGCTGCCCGGGATGTGGGGATGGGGTGTTGCCCCCAGGACTCGCTGGGGGCTACCCTTTTATCTGGGAACGTTGCCCCACTGCAGAAAGGAGGCAGAGCTGGGAGGGGTTTTTGAGGGGTGGGGGAGTTCAGGGAACTCGTGTGTAGCTGAGCAGGGCTGTGGGGACCTTCTATCCCGCCTGTCCCCGAGCTGGGCTGGAGCACGGGTGGAGCCTGTCCCACCCATGCAGATGGACCCCAGGGCTGAGTCTTGTGCCAGCCAGGAGCCCCTCGGGATGCTGTGGGGGCCCAGCACCTCCCTTCCCACACAGACACCGACCAGGGTTTGTGGTGGCAAAGCCAGTCCAGAGTTTTAATAGGGGGAAAAATCCTTTTCCGAGCGGTAAAAGGATGGGGGTTCTGGGGGAAGGAGGTGCCCGTTTGTGGGGTCAGCACTCTCAAAGTCACTGTTACCAGGGTGCATCGAGGCTCATCCATGCGCTCCAGGGGCTCCAGGCCGAGGGGTTGTAGGGGTCCTGGCAGCTGATGCGCACCCGCCGCGCACCTGCCTGCACCGGCATCTCCTCCACACCCTCCACAAACTGCTCAACCTGCAAAGGGGGCAGGGCACGGTCTAGGGAGATCCTCGGGGAGAGGGGCACCAGCACTCCCTGACCCCAGCAGCGCTGAGGGGAGCAGGGGTGACAGCCAAGGGTGACAATTCATCACCCCAAGAAGGGAAGCACCAGAGTGAGGAGTGGCCGTGGCTGAGCATCTTTCCAGGCACAGGGAAGAGTCAGGGATGGGGCAGGGCGGGCACAGGGCAGGGTGGGGACATGGGATAGCTTGGTCAGGGACCCCCCCTGTTACCTGGGTGCCGTTGTGGAGCTCATACTGTAGACGGTAGAGCAGTGCAAAGTAGGACTTGGGGAGTGGCCAGGAGGCCGGGGGGGCCCAGGCCAGGTGGAGCTGCTCCCCCCTCTGCTGCAGGATCAGCTCCTGGGGCGGATCAGGACGCACTGTGGACAGAGGGGGCTCAGAACAGGGGCTGAGACTCCCCCCGGAGCCCCCGGTGTCTCTTGCACATCCCCCACCCCGCTGCTCCTGCCCTGAGCTCACCAATGTCGCGGACAAAGAAGTGCCTGGAGAGATTGAGGTAGGAGGTGTCCGAGAGCCCTTCCAAGTGCAGCTGGAGTGGGTGCAGCTCCTCTCCGAAGGGGCAGAACAAGGGATCTGCCAGACTCGTGTTGAACCAGCCATGGTCACTGGCCACTGGTACCCACGGCCCCACGGAGCCATCACTGTGGGGAGGGAGGTGTGAGCAGGTCTTAGGGCTACGTGGCCGTGGTGCTGGTGTGGGTTTGGGGGACGTCTCGGGGCACCCACCTGCGTGTGAGGCGAGCACGGAAGATGGCAGAGGAGGGCCCGGGCCAGGAGCAGTGGAAGGAGCCATTGTAGGACTCAGCGTGGCAGGACACGTTGATCTCCTCCTCACCTGAGGGGGATGAGGGATGACCAGTCAGAGGCTGCAATGAGGCCAGGAGAGGTGCCCCTCTCCCTGTATGGCACTGCTGGGGCTCCCCACATCCATGCCCAGTGCAGCCCCATGGGCTGGGCACAAGAATCTCCTGGTTCTCCCCTGCACCCCATCACCCCCAGCCATGCCCCTCCGTACGGGAGCTGCTGACCACCACGTAGGTGGTGTCCAGCAGGACAGGGCCGGCCCAGCAGCTGTAGTTGCCAGTGGCTGGCAGGTCCAAGCCGAGGATGGTGAGGTTCTGGCCCTCAGGCACCAGTTCAGCCATGGGGTCCTCCTCTCCGTTCAGTGTCCAGTAGATGTGCTGCTCTGAAGTGTCACATTGCAGCACCATGTCCTGGTTGAGCTTCCCCACCTGGACTGGAGAGGCAGAGCCTGTGGTCAGAGATCGGCTGTGGTGGGGGCAGATTGACCCCCAAAGGGACAATCCAAGGGTCTGGGTGCCCCTTGGCCTCACAACCATCCTCTCCCATGGTCCTCACCCTGCTCCTGCAGTCCACATCTGTCCCCCCATTTCCTCACCCCATACCCACGCCACATCACCCTCACCCCCATCCTCTAATCTCCCAGCAGAGCTGTCCCAACTCTTATCAGAGGGATGTGGGTTTAGGGTGTCCCCCACTCCCTCTGCTTCCTCTACAGCTGCCCCAGCCAGAAGGTCCCCCTTCCAAAGCCTCCCCTGTGCCCTGGGAGCAGCACTCACACTTTGGGGGGAAGGCAGTCAGGGATTCTGCAGGCACAAGGAACAGCACCAGTCCCACCAGCACCAGCATCTGGGAAGGGAAAGGGAGGGGAAGGGCTGGAGATAACCCAGGAGAACGGCACACCCAGTGGGGCCAGCCAGGGCTGAGCCCTCAGCCCTGGGAGCAGCATCCCCAAAGCAGGATCCCCCCGAGACGCCCCAACCCTGCCGGTCTGTGCTTACCTCTGCGTGTGTCTCTCTGGTGGGCTCGGCAGGGTCGAGGGCTGTGGTCTTATAGTGGGCTGGACTCCATGGGGCTGCCCCAAGGTGCAGTCACAGCAGCATCACAGTTCTCAGAACTGGAGAATGGGACACACGCTCAGCCCCCTGCCTCCCACCCACCCAACCTCGGGACTCACCACTGGTACTTCCCAGGGCGGGGGGCACCGCACCCCCTCGTCCTGCCCCCGAATGCCAGAGGATGGGTCCCCCGGTAACAGCCGGGCAAGGGGCAGTGCTGGGCACCTGGAATGTTGGGGTTCTGGGTGGTCCCAGAAGGGTACCCCTCTCAGAGGGGTCTTGAGCCCTTGCACCACCTGAGGGTCTGCACATCCCCGTGTGCTGCACAGAACCCCTGCTATGGGGTGGGAGGACCAGTGAGGTCTATCAACACCTGTGCCAGGGGTCTGGAGAAGGGCAGCTCAGGGCTGGGCCCCTCTGGGTCCCCGAGGAGAAGGAAGGGTTTGCACAGAGGCTCAGGGTGAGGCCTCCAGCCTGGCACAGGTTGTCTCATCCCTTCCCTTCCCTCCTCTCCTCGGGCCACTGCATCTCCCACGGGATGCTGTGCAGAGATGAGGACGTAGGGACAGAGATCAACATGGGCACTAGCTGCCCCTTTGCCATCCCACTGATGCCAGCCCATGTTGAGGGCACGTAACAGACCCCACCCTGAGGAGGGGAGCACTGTACCCTTTCACGTACTTTCTGGAGTTCCTTGAAAGCAAAGGGGAAGTGGGGGCTGTGGGAGGCTGGGGGAGCCCAGCTCTCACCTTTTGAGGCATTGTGGCCAGGACTGGGCAATGGGACCTCCAGGCCCCTCCCTAAGCAGAGCCAAGCCCCTGTGTGTGGGTGTCAAGGCAGGGAGGGGAAGCTGGGACCCCCAGGTCCCCGGGCAGCAGCTCAGCCCTTGGCTGCAGCATTGTAGGGGACCCCGAGAGGAGAGGGAGGGATGGGGTGCCTTGCCCGGGGGTACACCCATGCCCTGCCCTGTCTGGGGGAAGTAGACACTGGCGGCAGGTTCGCCCCCACCTCGCCAACCACAGCTTCCCCTTGGCTTCTGCAGAAGAACCACAACCACAGAGGGGAAGTCCTGATGCAAAGGCCAGGGATGCCCTCAATGCCTTAGCATTGTTGGGACCCCAGCCTGGCACTCGAAACAAGGGTGGGAGGGGAGGGAGGCCTCACAGACAGAAACCATTCCCGGGAAGGGGAGCGAGGCCTCACAGACAGAAACCATCCCCGGGAGACGGGAGAAGCAGGGACAGAGCCCACGCCAGCCAGACCCCTCTGTGCTGATGTCCCTTGGCAGGATGGACCCCTCGCTGAAGTCACGGACACGAAGCCAGGAGCAAAGGTCATAAAACTTTATACAGGAGGGACCTGTGCGTGTCCCCTCGGCGCCGAGCGCGGGGGGGAGCGGGACAGGCGATGCCTCCAGCCCCGCAGACCCCCGGGAAAGATGGGGTGAAGGAAGGAGCCCAGTGGGGAGAGCCCACACGACTCCCCCGGCGGGGGCCAGCGCTCCCCAATCCACGCTCTGAGGTGCCGGGGTGGTCCCACGGCCGCTGGCCCTCGACCGACTGCGGCGCAGTGCTGAGGCAGTGCCCACGCCTCCCTGGGAGCTGGGACAGCCCCTGCAGCCACACAGCCCCCCTGGGGCCTCCCCGGGGCTCCCCTGTCCCCAGGGTCATGGCCAAGCCCAGGCAGCCCCACCGTGGGGCTCCGGTGCTCCGGCTCACTGCAGGACGCAGACGTCGCCCTGCTCATGCTCGTGTCCAGCCGCCTCTGCCAGCTCTGCCGGCTCTGCTGGCGCCTCCTCTGCTGCCACCACCTTCTCCCGCAGCTCCATCAGCAGGTCCCGACCCTCGCTGGGCGGCAGGTTGCTCAGGTAATACTGCGGGGCCAACTCCACCAGCCTGTGAGGACAAGGTGGGGTCAGCCAACTACAGGGATCCCCTGTAAGGACCTGTCCCTTCCCGTCCCCTCACATTTGGGGCTGGATCTCCGAGACCACGCGCAGGCAGTTGTCCTGAGAGATGGTGAACTCGTGGTAGAGCACCCAGGGGGGCAGGCGGCGCGGGGGTGGCCTCAGCAGGTACCCGCAGGCGGGGGCCAGGTGGGCCACGTGCTTATGCGTCAGCATCACGTAGTTACCAGAGCCATCGATGTCTCGGGCGACCTGGGAGGGACCAGGAGGGAGTGGGGTGGCTGGCACCACTCCACAGCTCCCCTATAACTCCTCACAGCCCCCTGGGCCCACCTTGAGGAAATACCCGGAGATGAGGGCCCGCTGGATGTTGAGGGCGTTGGCGTCGGAGCCAAAGGCGGGTGGTGAGACCGGGAGCTCGATGCGGCGCATGACCTCGAGCAGCTCGGAGCGCACGGTGCCCGCCAGGCGCAGCGCCTCGGAGCACACCCCGTGCTTCCGGCACCAGCCCTCGTCCCCCGCGTCTGCAGGAGGGACAGCAGGGTCAGTGATGTGGGGACACGGATGGCACTGTGGGGGTAGTGATGTGGGGACAGAGATGGCACATCAGGGTGCGTGATGTGGGGACAGGGATGGCACAGCGGGGTCAGCGATGTGGGGACAGGGATGGGATACTGGGGACAGTGATGTGGGGACAGGGATGGCACAGCAGGGACCACGATGTGGGGACAGGGATGGCATAGTGGGGTCAATGATGTGGGGACAGATGGGATAGTGGGGGTAGTGATGTAGGGACAGGGATGGGATACTGGGGGCAGTGATGTGGGGACAGGGATGGGATACTGGGGGCAGTCATGTGGGGACAGGGATGGCACTGTGGGGGTAGTGATGTGGGGACAGGGATGGGATAGCGGGGTCAGCAATGGGGACGGCACAGTGGGGGCTGTGATATGGGGACAGGTGAGCAGAGAGCCCGCTGGGCTGGGGGCCTGGAGAGCACAGAAGCACTGCTGCTCCCCCTGTCTGTGACCCCTTCACACAGTGGTGAGAGGGACTGAGCAGAGGGCACAGCCCCCAGGCTAGAACTGAGAGCCCCCAGATCCTCCCCCAGGCAGGCTGAGCACTGGGATGGGGTCAGGAATGTAGCTCCAGGGCAGGGAATATGAGGGGATGTGGGACACCAGGAGGAGCAGGAGTTACAAAGGGGTTTGTGGGATGCCCAGAGGGGTTCAAGCCCCCCACCCCCAGCCTCTGCCCACACTCACGCTGCTGGAAGGCATTGAAGATGTTGATGAGGGTGAAGTGGTCCCCGTTGGGGTGCAGCAGCGCCCGCCGGCGCAGGGCCACGGCCTCCTCCAGGTGTGTGGACAGAGGCACGAAGCAGGGGGATGCTGGGGGTGGGCAAGGGGTCACTCTGTGTGCCCAGCACCTCCCCAGCAGTGCTGGCTCCTGAGGGCCACCCCATGCCCCCCACAGGGTACCTGTGAGCATGGCAGCCAGGCTGACCATCTCCTCCACGCAGTCAAACTCGCAGGAGGCGATGAGGGCCTTGGCCAGCTGCGGGTCCAGTGGGAATTCTGACATGATGATCCCCACCTCTGACAGATTCCCGTCGTCATCCAGGGCTGCCAGGTAGTCCAGGTCCTCCAGTGCTTGCATCAGGGACTCAGGGGCTGGGGTGGGACATCAGGCAGCTTTGCCCATTCTGTCCTGCACCTGCCAGGCCGCCAGTCCCTCTCCAGAGACAACCCAGGTGCAGTGACGGCCACAGCCATGGCTGCCTCATCTGCTCCAGCCCCACACGCCATGCCTGGCCCCCGTGGGCTCTACCTGGGCGGTCAAGGAAGTCACACTGGCCCATGTCGGCGATGTCCAGGCGCTTCAGCAGCAGCACGAGGCGGCTCAGGCTGGTCTCACTGACGTGGGGCGCAGGGCTGGGGGGCAGGCGCTGCTCAAAGGCCTCCGAGTACAGGCGCAGGCAGGTGCCTGCAGGAGAGATGCCATGAGGTGGGACAGCGACAAGGCAGTGGCACAAGCAGGTGGGGACAGGTGCTGGCCCAGGCAGTCCTGAGGGGGGACATTGGAGCAAGGGTCTCACCTGGGGGGCTGCCAGCCGCTCGCTGCATGCGTGACTCAGCCTGGCTCCGGCTGATGGGCCGCAGCACCTGGGACTCGGCGCGGATGCGAGGGTTGTACACCTGCAGGAGGCTGCGAGTGGGACACTGCAGGGGACCCCTGCCATCCCTCACCTGCCAGTGCAGGGCCACCACTGCCACCTTCCCGGGGCAGACCCCTCCTCCCAGCCTGGAAGATCACGGCAGGGAGGATCCCACAGCCCACTACGCCCCAGGGCAGACCCAGACTCATCCCCTGTCTCACTCACGCTGCGCAGCTCCAGCCCCGAGTCGATGACGAAGCGCACGGTGTCCAGCGAGAAGGACGAGTCCCCGAGCCAGTGGGTGACAATGACACGCCGCTCCCGGCTCTCCTCGGGTGTCTCGTAGAGTCTCTGTGCGGCCCGGCCCATGCCAGGGTGCAGTGGCAGCACCAGCAGCGGGCCCAGCGTCGGGCTCAGCGCCATGGCCTCCGTCTGGATGGCAGTGCAGCACTCGGAGATCTCCTGGGCAAGGACAACAGGGCACAGGTGACACCTGCCAACACCTGCAGTGTCCCCATTGCCAGGTCAGGGTGCTGCACCATTCCCTGCACCCACCTCCCACTGTAAAGGAATCCCAGCTCCCCCAGTTTTACCCCGGCCATACTTTGGGCTCCCCATTGAGGGGGACACCCCAAACCTTCCCTGCCCTGTTCCCCCATCAGCTCACCTGCTCACTGGCCAGGAAGACGAGGACGTGGCCGGGCTCCTGGCGCCGGTGGATGTCCAGCACAGCCTGGCAGGCAGCAGCCACGCTCCCATGGGCCGGTGGCTCCCGGTAGAGCAGCTGTGGCAGGGAGCTGTGCCCCGGGACCCGCACCACGGGGGGGTCCCCGCAGAAGGCACGCAGCCGCGGCTCCAGGGTGGGCGAGGTGACCACCACGAGCCGCAGGGCTGGGCGCTGGTGCAGCACATCCTTGAGCAGCCCCAGCAGCGCATCTGTGGGCACCGTGCGCTCCTGCACCTCGTCCAGAACCACCACCCCGTACTGCCGTAGCAGCGGGTCCGACGTCATCTCCCGCAGCAGCATCTCGTCAGAGCAGAACCTGCCGGAGCCCCACCCCATCAGGGTGAACCCCTGGCTGGGGGAACGCCTTTCCCCTCCCCACAGCAGCCCCCTCCCCACAGCAGCACATGCTGCTTTCCAGCGAGGCCAGGCTGGATTAAGGGATTACGTGGAGCTCAGCAGGATTAGGGCTCTGTGCTCCCAGCGCGGGCCCCGCCGTCCCTCCCGTACCTGAGGATGGTGTCGGCGGTGCAGCAGTCCTCGTGTGGCACGCAGTAGCCCACCTCGTGGCCCAGGTTCAAGTCCATCTCGTCTGCCACGCGCAGGGAGAGGCTGAGGGCGGCCAGGCTGTGGGGCTGGGTGCAGGCCACCAGCCCGTGGGCAAAGCGCATGGACAGGGCATACTCGGCGCACCACTGAGGGATCTGTGGGGACAGGGCATGGGGCAGCGTGGCTCCAGGACTGTCCCCTCCCTGCTGCGCCCCTCCAAAGGGCACAGGGACCTTCCCCACGGATCTGGCTGCAGGGCCAGAGGCTGTCCAGAAGCACCCGTAGCTCAGGCAGGATATTCCCTCCCCACTCCTGTCATCTGGGAGCCCCACCCACAGTCTGTACCAGGAGCGCCATAGCCCCACACCTGCAGCTTCCTGCCCTGGTGTGTGGGACACCATGACCCTGTTCTCACATTAGGGACATGGGACAATGGCCTGGGAAACCCCAAGGAGAGACAGGGAAGGTAGCTGTTCCCACCAGGGAACAGCTGCTGGCCAAGTGCCTGGCCTGACGGTGTGGGACAGTGCCAAGGCCACGTAGATGTCCCTTTGGCACCAGGGACCTGAGTCCTGCTTCCTCCTGTCACCTCTGAGCCCCCCACGAGCAATGCCTGTGCCTCAGTGTCCCCAGGGCCCTGCAGGGACTGCAAGCAGGGTGTTGCACCAAAAAACACCATCCCTGGGGCCCGCACAGGAGCTTTGTTCCCCAAATCCAGCAGTGCCAGCCCAGCCCAGCCACTCAGCAGGTCACACCCAGGGAGTGTGGTTGAGATTTGGTTGAACACCTCGAGCCCAAGGCAAACACCCCGATAGCCTGTGGCGACCCAGCCCATTCCGGCCCCGCAGCAAACACAGCAGCGGCGCCGCTCCCTGCAATCCTTTCCCCGGTCAAAGTCTGCCAGGTGTTGTCCCCGTGTCACCAGCAGCTGGGACGATCTCCCCGGGGCAGCCGGGAGGGATTTGGCACCCCAGCCCTGCCACTTCCCCTGCACCAGGCCCAGCTCCGGGTTCCCCCCTCCCGCTGCCAGCCGAGCCCTTGGAAGCGATTCCTGGCTCGTGCTGCGGATTTGCCCGGTGCCCTGTGCTGGCCGCAGCACATCCCGGTGCCCGCCCACCCTGCCGGGCTCAGCGCAGCATTCCCGGGGGCCCGGCACCCTCTCAGTGTGTCCCACGGCTCAGGCGCTGCCGTGGGGTCTGGGAGGATCCACACGCAGTCCCCGGCGGGGCCGGGCACCCCCAGCTGCCCTTGTCCTCACCTGTGTGCTCTTGCCGGTACCGGGGGGTCCGGACACCAGCACGATGCCGCTGTTGCCTTCCAGGTGTTCCATGAAGCTGTACTTGGTGGTCCAGACCGGCAGCTCCCGGCGCTGCCGCAGCAGCTCGTAGTAACGGGAGGAGAAGGGCAGCCCATCGTAGGGGTTCACCTCCAGGTCTCCGTCGCAGCCCAGGGACGGGTCTTCATCCTCCTCCTCCTCCTCCAGCGCGGAGCTGGGGCCACTCGGCCCGGGCAGGGGACCCGGGGCCCCGGAGCCGTCCATGGCGGGGACACCGGAGCTGCGAGGGCGGGTGGGGGTGGAGCGGGACCGGCGCTGACCCACCCTCACCTACGTCCCGGGAAGGAGCCCGGTGCAGCCCAGTGCCACGTCCCGTCCCGCGGGGAGGGGGGACCCGCGGATACCAGGGACGGGCAGGGGATGCGGGCACAGGGGCACAGACAAGTGCGGAGGGATGATACGGTCCGCAGAGACCAGGAACAGAACTGGAGTGTGAGGGACCGGGAGAACGGACAGGGAACCGGCAGGCGGGCAGGGAACCGGGGAAAAGGGATGGGGCACCGGGAGAGCCCCGCAGAATGCGGAGACCGGACAGGGCTGTGCGTGGAGACCGGACCAAGGCAGGGTACAGGGGCTGCGGGACAGGGCGGACACCTTGGGAGGGTCGGTCCCGAACGGCACGGGCCGACCAGGTCGGCGGAGCACCTGTACGGGACGGTCCGGGCCGGGCACCTGAGCACCGGCACCGGGCCGGACTTCAGCGGAGTAGAGCGGGGGGGCGGGGCGGGGGCGGGTCAGGGGCGGGTGACCCGCATCCCCCCGGACCGCAGCCCCGGTTCCGGCCCCGGTTCCGGTTCCGGTCCCGCCGCTCACCTGCGCGCGCCACCGCGGGCCCTGCCTGGGGTCACGGTCACGTGCCCCACGCGCCGTCACGTGCCCCACCCGCGGCAGCCAATCAGCGCCCGTCCCGGGCGGGGCCCGGATGTGGCGGCGGGACGGGAGCGGACGGGCCCCGCCGCGACCTGCGGTACCCCCGGCAGCGCTCCCGCCTCCGGCCGCGGCCCCGCCCGGCCCGGTGCCCTCCGCTGCCAGCTCCGGTGTGTGTCTCCGAGCCGGGCCCGGCTGCAGCCCGAGCTCACCCGCAGCCCCTATTGGGATCGGGCTTCCCAGTACCGGACATCTCGGTGCTGGTGCGTCCCGTACTGGATCTGGGCATCCCGGTGCGCGACCGGGCGTACTGGAGCGGGGCATGTTGTACCGGCACATCCCGTACCGGAGTCGGGCATGTTGTACCGGCGCATCCTGTAGCAGTGCCGGCCATCCTCATTTGGGGCATTCTGTACTGCTGTCGGATGTACCGGAGCCGGGCGTCCCGTACCGGTGTCGGTGTTTCCGTACCGGAGCATCCCGTAATGGTGCTGGTCATACGGTGCTGGGCATCCTGCTACCGGAGCGGGGCATCTCGTACCAACACTGGGTGTATCGAGGCCAGGCAATCCCGATTTCGGACATCCGTACCGGCGCCTCGCACCCGAAGCAGCTCCCTCGACCGCGGCGGCTCCCGACGGTACCGGCAGGTGGAGCTCCCTGACCGGCGAACGGCCCGGGCGGTCCGACCCGGCCAGAGCTCCCGCCGGGGCCGCGGGGCAGAGCCGCGTACCGGGCAGGGGCCGCGCACCGGGCAGCGCCGGGTGGGCACCGAGCGGTGTCTGCTGGCCCCGGGACTGCGGGAACCGGGAACCTCGGAGGCTGCGAGAAGTGCCATGCCTGCGGTTCCTGCTCTCCGACAGCACCGGCAGTCCCCGCACGCTGGTGCCCGTGCCTCATTTCTTTCTGTTCACCCCCGGTGCTGCCAGCCCCGGGGCGGGCAGGTCTGTGCAGTGGCGGGGTTCTGGCGGCACATCCCGGGCTTTGCCGTGCGGGGTGGCGGCTCCGGTGGCAGCTCTAGATCCTGCATGTCCCGTCCTCGCACCGGCAGGATCGCGTTTGGCTGATCCCACATCCACCCGGTCTCCCTCTCCCGCGGGGCCCTCCTGCTCTTCTCAAGGCCGTTTTTTTGGTCAGGGGGATCTGTTCTGGGGCTGGGGATGACCCAGAGCAGGATCAGGTTGCAGGGGAGTTTGGGGACATGCGAGGGGGTGGGGATGCAGGGAAGGAGCCGAGTGCTGTCTCCAAGGGGCTGCTGGAGAGAGATGTGTCAATCTGTGGGAGCAGCAGCAGGATTTGGGGGGCTCAAGAGGGTCTCAGGGCAGCGTGGCCATGAGGGGGTGAGGGTCTGGCTGAGCCCTCATCTCTGTGGAACCGTCAGGGTTGGACAGCCAAGTGCAGCCAGCAGGAGGAAGGAAGTGGGTGGTGCTGAGCCGTTGCTCCATGCGCTCTCCTGGTGCTGCAGGAGCTGGACAGGGCTGGACAGGGCAAGGAGCCAGCGCTGGCACAGCTGGGTCTGGTGCTCTGAGGGGCATGGATGGAAATGTGGACAAGCCAGACCCGGCCACGATAGCAGAAACCTTGTCACAGCAGTGCCAGTTGGGAGCCTCATGGCTAGCACAGGCTCACGGCTCCAAGTGGGTTCTCGTGTGGCCAGAGAATTCCATGCTCTCAGCTCCAGCTCCATGTCCTGCTAGCTGGAGGCTCTGGCCATGATGCTCACCCAAAGGGGTCACCACATGGCCCACCCAGTGACCAGAACCATCTTGACAGTGACCCCTGACCCACACCCTTGGGTGGGTGGTGTGGGGGTCCCGGGGGCTCCATCCCCACCGCGCTGCTCCCAACATATGGCAGGGGCAGGATGGTGGGGTGGGGCCCCCGCGTCACAGCGCACTGAGGAAGCGGAGGTTTCACAAGCTGGGGGTACACGTGACACAGGGAGTGTGACAGGAGGAACCACCAGTGTCCCTGCAGCGCCCCGGTCGCCACAGCACGGCCCCGGTGGCCCGGTGGCCATGGCACCCTGGCTGCCCACCAAGGAGAAGTATGGCGTGGGTGAGTTGGGGCTGTGGGTGCTGGACCCTGTGGGGGTTTTCATTGGGTTAGAGGGTCACAGGGGCTGGCAGAACGGGGTGCTCAGGGTGAGGTGACATCCATGGTACTCCCCTGGATCTGGTGGTGGCAGCTGGGTGATGGCAGCCGAACTGGTGCCATTGTGAGATGATGTGAGGAGGGGACCAGATCCCTGCGGTGCTGGTGCTTGCTGGGTGCAGGAACAAACAGGGCTAGCGGGGGCTGCAGGGCTGGTGACAGAAGGCTCAGGGAAGGGGGCCAAGCAGGACAGGTGCCAGCAGGACCCACGCACCAGGAGGCTCCAGAGCTGGTGCTGGTGGGGGTGGGAAGCACTGGGGTGGTTCCAGTCCCTCCAGGCTGTGGGTCTGGGCTCAGCCTGGCTGCTGAGGCTCTGGGGGAGCCTTGAAACACCTCAATAATTTTTCTCAGGTTCCAGCTGGGGCTTTGCCACTGCCTCAGTGTTGGTGATGGCAAAGCCCTGGGCACCCCCATTCCTTGCAGCACCCCCAGCTTGGGCTCCCCGTGCTCTGCACCAGCCCTGGGCACCCCCACTCCCTGCAGCACCTCAGCTTCTGCTGGCTCTGGCAGCCCTGTGTTTCTTCCCGTTTCTTGTGGGGCCGTTTCCTGCACCCTTCCCTTGCACTTTCTGCAGTGCTGGAGTGAAGGCTGAGCTGCTGCAGGGTCCTGGGCAGCACCTGAGCGAGGGCTGAGCTGCTGCTGGTGCCAGCTGGCTCAGGATCTTCGTGGGGAGCTCAGGATGATGGGAGGGGTCCCGTGGGACCTTGGGGCTCTTGATGCACCAAGGTATGAGGGTCAGCCTGAGGGGGCTCAATGGGCCAGGTGGGTCTGGGGGTGCTGCAGTATGAGCTGGCCCTGACTGGGACTCAGGGTGGGCACAGGTATGGTCCTAGGAGGGATCCCTGGGTTCAGGGACTGTACCCCTGGGGGCCAAACCAGTGCTGCTTGCCCCAGAGCTGTCCCTGCGGCCAGAAATAGCGACAGGGACAACCACAGCGCAGCCGGGCAGGAAGTGGCCGGCCATCAGAGAGCTCCTGTCCCCACTGCCCCCCTCCCCTGCCACCAGCTCCGCTGTCCCCAGACAGACCTGTCCCTGGGCCACCAGGGACTGGCACTTGCCTCCCTGCACCGCTTGTGCCAGGAGCAGGACTCACCATGGTGTGGGTGGCAGGCGGGGGGGGGTCCCACAAGAGACCCCTGAGTGCCAAAAGGGGGCTGGGGGCTTCTGCTGTTCCCGGCCCTGTGCAGGCTGTGCTGGGGTGTGGGGTCGGGGTGCTCGGGGGTCTCACTCTGTTTGTGGGGCTGGAGCTCTGCTCCATCTCTCGGGGGGCTGGGATGCTGTGGGGGGCACCCAGCCCATGGGGGGCTGGCTGTGGGGTGCAGGTGGTGCACAGCGCCTGGGGGCTGGTGAAGGGCTCCAGGCAGGGATCCCAACTCCCAACCCCTCTTCCCGCAGCCGTGTGGAACTTCCCGCGCACCAAGGAGCATCACCTCCCGCTGCAGATCGGGGAGATGGTGCACATCCTGCAGGCCTCCGAGGGTAAGGGGGACCCCCAGGTGCACCCCAACGTGGGTTCCTGCACCCTCCCTGCAGCAGGGGCCAGGACCCCCAGCCTGGCTGACGATGTCCCCTCCCCTCACAGGCTGGTACTGCGGGTACTCGCTCCGGAACAGGACTGCCCGGGTAGGTGAGGGGGTGCGCTGGGGTTTTGGAGGCAGCAGGGGCACTGCTGGTGGCTTTGCCTGTCCCTGCTGGTTGCCTGTGTGGGCAGAGGGGGCATGGAGAGCAGCTTGCCCTGTCCCTGGGGGGATGTTGGGGTTTGCAGGGAGCAGAGGGCACATCAGGCTGGGCACCCTGTGGCATTGGGAGCCCCCAGCTGTGCCCCACTGAGGGACATCTCCCAGCCCGATGGTGCCGATGGCTCTGGCTTCTTCAGGGCATCTTCCCAGCCTCGCTGATCCGGCTGAAGGGCACTGTGGTGGAGCAGCGGGGGTAGGTATGGGGCACAAGCACGGGCAGGGGCGGTGGGCTCCACCTTTTGCCCCGTGCGGGGTCCCTGCGGTGCTGGGGCACTCCAGGGGTCCCTGTGCCTCCCCCAGGGTGGAGGAGAGCGTGGAGGAGAGCACCCCTATGGTCCAGGAGATCACCACCACGCTGCGGGAGTGGGCCACTATCTGGAAACAGCTCTATGTGGTGAGGGACGAAGGTCTGGGTGTCGGGGGGATGTGGGAGCAGGACGGGGGAGCCCTGGTGACCCTGTGGTGCTGCCGCAGGCCGGGCAGACGGAGCGGTACGGGCAGGTGAAGCGGATGATGCAGGAGCTGATGGAGCTGCGCTCGCAGCTGCTGTCGGGGACACTGCCCAAGGACCAGCTCCTGCGGCTCAGGAAGGAGGTGACCGGCAAGATGGACTACGGCAACAAGTGAGGGCGGGGACGGGGCGCAGGGACCTCAAATCTGCCTCTGGCACAGGCTGAGCGGTGCCCAGGTGTGCTCCCTGGTGTCCTGGCTGGCGGTCCCTGTGTCCCCATCATCCCAGCTGGCTGTCCCATGATGGCTGGGGACAATAAGTGTGCCACCAGCTGCTCAAGCCACCTGGCTAAGGGCTGACAAGCCGTGGCTGGGACAGGACAGTTCCTGGTGCTGCCAACTCCAGTCCCCTTTCCCAGTTGGATCTGTCCTGCCCCCTCAGACCCTGTGCAAGGACGAGTGAGTCCTGGTGGGACACACGGACCCGTGAGCCCCCAGTCCTGCCTTACCCCATCCTGTCCCCTGCAGGATCCTCGCGCTGGACCTGGTGGTGCGGGATGAGGACGAGAACATCCTGGACCCCGACAGGACCAGCGTCATCAGCCTCTTCCAGGCGCACAGGAGGGCGGCACAAACCCTCACCCAGCGCATCCAGGAGGAGACGGTGAGGGCGCTGCTGGCCCTGCCCCCAGAGCCTGATGTTCCCTGTGCCAGGGGATGTGACAAGGGCTGAGCCACCTTATGCCCCTCACCCCAGAGCCCGCAGCAGACAGCACCAGGCCACGGCACCCACGCTGCTGCTTCGCCCTCCCACAACCTCTACCTTTGCGTCCGCAATTTCGTCTGCCACATCGGGGAGGAGGCGCAGCTCTTCATGGCCCTGTACGACCCCGGCGAGCAGCGCATCATCAGGTGGGGTCCCGGGGTGCAGGACAGACCCCTGGCCGTGCTTGCTGGGTGCTTGTCCTGCTGCTCCCCGTGGCATTCCCCTCAGGCTGCCCGTCCTGCCCTGCCCAGAAGGACCCAGCGGGTGTCACAAGAGGAAGGGGCACGTCCCTTCCCAAAGGGCTTCTCCAGAGCGGGAGGGTTCGTCATGGCATGCCAGCCATGCAGCCATATCCCATGGGACAGCCCATGGCTCGTCATGTCCAGGCACTGGTGAGGTGGCCAGGGCGGTGACTGGGGACAGCAAGGCTGGGCCAGTGCCTGTGTCGCGACTGGGGACACTGGTGGGCTGAGGGGTGTGTGCGGTGGGAGCTGCCAGGGGCTCTGCCATCCCGGTGCCCACCTCAACCATCACCCGCCCCGCAGCGAGAACTACGTGATCCGCTGGGCCAGCACCGGGGTCCCCCAGGACATCGAGCTGCTCAACAACCTCAAGGTCGTGTTCACGGTGAGCGCAGACACCGGCGGAGCCGCGCTGCTGCCTCCCGCCGCCTTCTCCTGCAGATCTGCAGCATTTGGGGTGCCCCGTGTCCCCCCGAGAGAAGCCGAACCCCCAACAGTCCCCCAGCCCCTCCGCAGACCCCTGTCGTGGCGCCGGAACGTGGCGCTGCCCCTCGGGGTCCCCTCTCAGTTCTGGGGGTCCCAGGGTCCCGTCCCGGTACTGGGGGTCCCGGGGTCCCCTCCCGGTGCTGGAGGTTTCGGGGTGCCCCGTTCCCGCTCGTCCCACGCCCCTCAGCATCCGCTGACTCAGCGCTTTGGCTGCAGCGCAGCGCTGACCCCTGGGACGCCGCGGAGCCATCGATATGCAAATGAGCCGGGAAAATCAATGTTAATGAGCAGCATCAGCACTTCGGCTCCGTTGCCCATGGGCTCTCGTCCATCTCCGCCCTCTGCTCTGCTCGCTGCTGATTTCCCCGCGTGTCCCCACGCCTTGTGGCGTGTCCTTATCCCTTCTCCTTAGCGCCGCTGGAAGATTTTGGCGCAGGGGCAGCACCTGAGGGACCCGATCCCCTCCCCATTGTCTCCGGAGCTGGGGTACAGGGCCACCCTGACATCCTTACACCATTCCAGGTTGCCCTCTGCTTGCCAAACTGCCTGGGCTAGGGTGACCTGTTGGGACCATCGGTCCCCGTCCCTGGGGTTTGGGACTCCTGGGGCGCGCAGAAGCCTCCAGGGCAGCAGGGACCCATGGAAGCTCTGTGCCCACCGGTTCCCCCTGCGCAGCCCAGGACACCCCATGATCACCTGGCGCTGGCACGTCCCCTGTGGTGCTGCCAGGGTCACACAGCCCTTGTCCCCCAGGACTTGGGCAGCACGGACCTGAAGCGGGAGCGGCTGTTCCTGGTGTGCCAGATCATCCGGGTGGGGCGCATGGACCTGCGGGACAGCCACAGCCGCAAGCTCAGCACGGGCCTGCGCCGGCCCTTCGGCATCTCAGGTGGGGGTGGCTCCATGGAGACCCCCAGGGACTCCCGTGCCACCACCCTGGCACCCCCGCAGCCACCACACCAGGCTGTATGATGTCCCTGGGCTGTTCCCATTGTCCCCTTTAACTGCCTGCACACCCCACCCCCTGCATGGCTGCCCCCACACTGTCCCCCTCGGGCAGGGCTGTCCCTGCCCAAAGGACACAACACCTTGGGGGCATTCCCTGCCTTCACCTCCCCTCCACGATCCTGTTCTGGGCTTGGATCACTGGCTGGAGGTGCCACCCTTGCCACGGTGCCACTTCTGTGTCACTGCAGTGATGGACATCACCGACATCACCAAGGGGACGTGTGACAGCGACGAGGACAAGCAGCACTTCATCCCCGTCCACCTGTGAGCCCCATGGGTGGGGGGAGTGCTGGAGGGGACATCAGGCAGGGAGCAGCACTCCAGGGCCTGGTTGGCATGGGGACACCAGCTGCCAGGGGACAAGAGCTGCAAGGATCAAAGAGAAAAGGTTTTTCCTCTAAATGTGGCTTTTCCAGAGTGGCTGCTGATGGTGATTTCCTTCACAATATGATCAGGAAGGTGGTGGAGGGGAAGGACATCAACCACAAGGGACAAGGTAGGGACCCTGTGTCCCCTGTCCCCGCGCTGTGCCATGAGACTCTTCCTTGTGCCATCTCTTTGTCTCATGAGGCAGTCCCTGCAGGGTCGAGGACTTGCGGTGGCCCCTGGTGGCCCTGGCTCCCCCAGCTCTTGCTGTCACCCCTTGAAAAATCACTGTGGTCCCTGCAGGGCTCTGGGTGTCCCTGAAGATGCTGTGGGGAGACCTGAGCCAGGTGAGGAAGGACCACCCACACCTGGTGGACCGCAGCACGGCAGTGGCTCGCAAGCTGGGTTACCCAGAGGTCATTATGCCAGGCAAGTGTGGGGGGGAAAAGCCTGGGGGTCCCTGGGGATGCCAGCATGGTGCCAGGACGTGGCTGACAGGGATGTCCCCCCAGGTGATGTCAGGAACGACATCTACCTGACACTGGTGCAGGGTGAGTTCGACAAGGGCAACAAGAAGACGCAGAAGAACGTGGAGGTGACCGTGTGTGTCTGTGATGAGGCAGGAAATGTGGTACAGGTATGGCAGGTGTCCCCTGTGTCACCTCACCTCGGGTAGAGCCAACACCTCCAGTAGCAAAACTGGCTGGAGGAGCCTCTTGGGCCACTGGAGCAGCTCGGAGTAGAGATCTGGGAAAGTGCTGTGAAGGGATAGAGAAAATTGTCCTCCCTTGGGGACAGGGGCCATTCCCTGTGCCCCCAGACAAGGCGGGGGGAAGGAGCTGGGGGTGGGCAGGAGGGCAGGGGGCGGTCAGACCCGAGTGTCACCTCCCGAGGCTGGCTCTTGCCTCTCTCCAGGTGTTCTGACACCAGTTCTTAGCTGGCTCCTGAGGAATGGGCTGGAATTGCTGAGGGCCCAGCTGAGCTGGTCCAGGGATGCATCGTCCATCTCCACCCACAGGGCCAAGCCCTGATGTGCCCTAGGAGGGCCATGTGTCACTTCAGAGGTGGCACCAGGCCTGGTGGAGGTGGAGGGGATGGATTTTAGGAAGGTGTGGGCAGGGAGGCTGGGGGGCTGGCAGGGATGGGAATTCTCCCTCCCTGCGAGGTCATTTGGGCTGATCCTGAGGTATCTCCTCCTGGCAGAACGTGATCCATGCAGGAGCAGGGGACAGCCCCACCAGCCACTACCGCTCTGTTGTCTACTACCAGCAGCGACACCAGCGCTGGATGGAGACTCTGAAGGTCTGGGGAGCCCTGGGCCACAGGGGCTGGGATGGAACAGGGCTGCAGCACCTTCAGGCTGTGGCCTCACTCCTCCTGTACCACAGGACCCTGCTGCTGCAGGGGTCCCCTTCAGGGCAGGTGTTTTGGGGAGAAGTCCTTGGTCCCATCTCAGGGATGATGGAGGTGTTGCCAGGGTCACAGCATGACCTCTGGATGGACACCCAGCATGACCAACACTGGGTCCTGGCAATGGGCACTGCAGCCCTGTCCCCATCCCAGTGCTCCCAGTTCAGCCTCACTGGTTGACTGGGAAGGTTTGCAGCAGTGGACAATGTGGCAAGGCCCTTGCCCTGGCACAGAGGGACATTACCCAGGTGGGGGCTCACCCCATGCCCCCTGCCCTCACCTTGGCACACATTTCCACCCAGATTGCCGTTCCCATCGAGGATGTCCACAGGACGCACCTGAGGTTCACCTTCCGCCACCGCTCCTCCAGCGACTGTGAGTGTCCCCTGCCCCAGGCTTTCCACCCAGCATTGCCTCTCCCTGCCTGGAGGTGTGTCCCTGGTCCCCTCACCTCACCTGTGTGTCCCCCCCAGCCAAGGACCGCAGTGAGCGGATTTTCTCCATGGCCTTTGTGAGGCTGATGCGCCCTGATGGCACCACTCTGCGGGATGGGGAGCATGACCTGGTGCTGTACAAGGTATGGGGGGGTCACAGAGCCCCTAGAAATGGGGGGGCTATGGGACAACAGCACTTCTGGGGCCAGGGTCTCAGTCTTTGCCTGAGCCACTGTGCTGGTGGCACGTACCCAAAGTCCCCGAGCGTTTGCAGTCCTCGTTGTCCTTGGTGGCGGGGGCTCCCTGCACACAGTGTCTCCAATCCCTGCGCTGCTCCTTTGGAACGACAAGTTTTGTTTGGGAAAAGGTGATTTAAGCGTTTGTGACGGGGAGGGAACGTCCCCGTGGTGTGGCTGCGCTTCACCTGATTTCACCAGCCCTGGCACTGCTCGGGTTTGCTCTGAGAGAGTGGAAGGGAGGGAAAATCGCTGTTCCTTTGGGAAAAACGCAGTCAGCTCCAATGTGAAGGGTCCCTGAAAGTGCTGGCCCCTTACCTGGTGTCCCCTCCCCAGAATGGGGCTGCTGTCACCAGAGGAGAGGAGGCACGAGCTGGTCCCTGCTGCCAGGGTGAGCTCAGGGCTCTTCCCTGTGTGTTGACACCTTCCAGGATCCCTGCCTGGCCATGGAGCTCCAGTGTCCCTGGGGGTCACCTGTTCCCCTGCCCCTGGGCTGCTGCATGGGAGCGTTCTCTGATTTTGGCAACGTGACCACAGTTTCTCCAGGCAGAGCCACGTTCCTCCCTGAGTCTTGCCTTTTTTTTTGGGATTGTTTTTTTTGGATGAGCTGACTGGTCCTGCCTGCTGTGGCAACCCAGGACAGGGACAGACCACGCTGTTCTTTCCCGAGGCTCCTGTACATCTGAAATCATTCTTTTATCCCTCCTCCCTGCTTTATTTTTGAGCAAAAGACCCAAATTCTTTAACTGCTGCCATGGCCCTCGGCGCTGGCTCTGGTCCCTGGCTCTCTGGGGACTGTCCCCTCCACAGGAAGAGCATTGGGCACCTTTGGGATGTGCCAGTGCTGGCTGTGGCAGTGAGATCAAACCTCCCACACCTCCCTGCTAGGAGAACAAATCCCCCACACCTCTCTTCTGGGTCCCTGTTCCCCTCAGAGAGCTGTCCCTTCCCTCCTGAGCCGCCGCGTCCTGAGCTGCTCCATCCTCTCCCTTTCTGACTCCGGCTCTTCCTGGCACACACCAGGGGCTGGATTCTGGGACTCAGAAGCTATTTAATCGTTTTATTTCTGCTTACTAGAGGAATGTGAGTGAAGGGCTTTTAGCTGCTCAGACCTCTTGATCTCCAGGGTCTGAGCTCCACCCAGTTTTCCGTGTGCTGGCTTGGTCCTGGGAAGGAGCACAGGGCTCCTGTGTGTTGGATGCTTATAGCAGGTGTCCTGGGGGGGAAAAACCAACAGAAAACAGCTCTGTCACCCCCATCTGACCTTCAGCTGGAGGGGTTTCACCCTGTGAGGCTGCAGGCAGGGAAGGATGGATGTCTGTGAGCTGCAGCCTGGCTGACTGGTTCTGGTCATCCCTCCCATCCCAGGCTGGCCAAGGAGCAGGGAAGGTCATTCAGAGTCACCCCAGTGAGTCCTCCTGATGGAACATTTTCATCTTAGAGTAGGGGACACAGAAATAGGCTGGTATGCGGCTGTGGAGGCCCTGGAATGTCCGTACCGGTGGGAGATACAGGGTGACAGTGATGTTGTGGGACTGGTGTCCTGCTCCATGTCAGTGTCCCAGTGTCCCACTGCATGTCCATCCCTGCAGCAGTGCCCAGGTGTGTTCAATTTCCAGCCTCAGACTCCTCTTTGTCACTCTGCTCCTCCTGCCTGTTGTCCTGTCCCCACTGTGTCACACGGGGTTTGGTGTCACCCCCAGCCCATTGTCCCAGCTGAGCAGAGTCCCTCAGGATGCAGCTCTATGGGATCGATGTGGGGGAGCCAGAGGGTACCGTGGGCTCAGAACGGAGCCCCTGGGCACACCGGGGGCTAACCCTGTCCCCTGGTGCTCCAGCTGTGACCTGTTGTGCCCTGCAGGGTGACAGCAAGAAGCTGGAGGACGCCAGCGCGTACCTGTCCCTGCCCTCGGAGCGGAACCTGTCGGAGCCAAAGCTCCTCTCTGGCTCCTCCTTCCGTGTGAGCGGGACCACGACGGGTTTAGCCGTGTCCACCCGGGACAGCTTCCAAATCTCCACGCTCGTCTGCTCCACCAAGCTGACCCAGAATGGTGAGTCCTGGTTCCCCATGGCAGGGGAGGTGAGGCTGTGTCCCCTTCTCCAGTGGTGTTCCCACCCGCTGGAACACACTTTTCCCGATGTTTGAGGTGAAAACAGTGGGAACACTGAGTACTCACCGAGCGTTTGGCCGTAGTCAGAATGGCCAAGGCTGTTCCTGAGGAGATCAGCTCGATCTGGGTATTTTGGGGAGCTGCCATCCTCTGGAGAGGAGCAGCAGTGAGTGGAATTCCCACTTGAGTGTGGCTGCTGAAGTCTCCATGACCTTCCTTTGAAATTGAGGTGGGAATTGGAGCTCTGTGGTTTAACCCCCATTCCTGGGTTAGCTCAGGGGAGTTTCCAGCTCTGGGCTGCTCTACACAGGTCAGGACAGCTGAGAAGATTCATGCCCCCTTGTCCCTGACACATCCCCCTTGGCCAGGGGGGAATGCTGGGCTCTCCTCCCACCTGCTGCAAGGCTGGAAGTTGGGAATGGCTCATCCTGCTCTGGCTAAAGTGCAGGGGGCTCAGGGGACATGGCCTCGTGGTGTGGGGATGTGACACACGGTGACACGTGGCTGCAGGGCACTGTGGTTCGGTGTGGAGGGGTCAGGGATGAGGCTGCTCCATTAATTCCCTTCCTGCAGCACAATTTTGTCTCCCACAGCCACGACCTATTTAAAGTTTGTGCTTTATGGCCCTGGCATCAGGGGATTTCAGCACTGAGCAGTGTGAGGGGGTTCTGGCTGCTCCTGGCAGGGTCCTGGCTGCTCCTGGGTGGTGAGGATGGGATGGGGGGGCTGGGGGTTGGTAACACTGAGGTGTGACAGTGAGTGGTCAGTGCTGACTGCCCCATTCCTCCTGCCCAGTGAACCTGCTGGGGCTGCTGAAGTGGCGCTCCAAGCCCAGCCTGCTCTGTGGGAACCTCCAGAAGCTGATGAACGTGGATGGAGGGGAGGTCATCAAGGTACAGCCAGGATTTACTTCCCCACCTCCCTCCCTAGTTCCTGCACCCACGGACCCCCCATGCCCCGAAGTTGGGTCTTGAGCAATGCCGGGGTCAGCACTTGAGCCCTCACAGCCCTCCTGTCCCCCCAGTTCCTGCAGGACACACTGGATGCCCTGTTCTCCATCATGATGGAGCACTCAGAGACAGATGTCTATGACACCCTTGTGTTTGATGCCCTGGTGAGCAAAACCTGTGTGGGTCTGAGACCCCTCCAGTGCAGGGTGGGCACTGGTTGGACTGGGGCAATGGGATTTGCTGGTCTGAGTAACCCAGCACAGGGCAGGGCTGCGTTCTGAGAGACACTGCCAATCCCAGCAGGATTCAAAAGTGTTTCTCCTACATCAAGACAAGAGTGATCCCAGTGATGGCACCAGGGCAGGGTGGGTTTGGGGTGGCTGTAGCTCTGCCCAGACATCCCCCTGCCCATGCCAAGCCATGCCCCTGCCTGCCGCCCTCAGGTTTTCATTGTCAGGCTGGTGGCTGACAGAAAATTCCAGCATTTCAACACCGTCCTGGAGGCCTACATCCGCCAGCACTTCAGCGCCACGCTCGCCTACAAGTTCGTTCTGTGGGATATGGCACGGGGAGGGATGGGCTGGGACAGCTGGAATGGTGGGGGACAGGGCTGGGACAGCCAGGATGGGGCTGAAACAGTGGGAACAGGGAAGGACAGGGCTGGAATGCTCACAGATATCCCACTCTGCAGGAAGTTGCTGTCGGTGCTGACACAGTACGTGGAGCAGGCAGGTGGGGGACAGGGCTGGGACAGCCAGGATGGGGCTGAGACAGTGGGAACAGGGAGGGCCAGGGCTGGAATGCTCACAGATATCCCACTCTGCAGGAAGTTGCTGTCGGTGCTGACGCAGTACGTGGAGCAGGCAGGGCGGGGGGAGCCCTGTGAGTCCCTCCCAGGCACCTTCAAGGCCCTGGAGTACATCTTCAAATTCATCGTCCGCTCCCGGCGCCTCTTCGCCCAGTAAGTGCTGGCAGTGGCTCCCAGTGCTCCCAGTGCACCCTGCTGGCTGTGGGGTCTGTGGGAGGGAGGTCCTGTGAGGGTCCCTGTGCTATGGGAGCGGTGTCAGTGCCATCATCAGTCCCAGGGGTGTGGCAATGGCAGCTCAGCCCACCTGGTGCTGGCTGCCGTGGCACCCAGGTTGGCACCCACCGCTGCTGGCCATGCTGTTGTGTTGACTGATCCCCAGGCAGGCTCCTCCATCGCTGTGGATCCTCTCCTTGAGGATTCTGGCAGTTTTCAGCTTCATGCCATCCTCTGGATGCTGCTGGGCAATGCTGGTCCACTGGGCAGTGCTGTCCACCTCAGGGTGGGAGAGCTCTCTGGCCAGCAATGCCCAGCAATGACCCTACCCCACAGTGACCCTGCACCACAGTGACCTCTGCCCCAGTCACCCCTGACAGGGGATTTCCAATGAGCTCTTAAAATCCTCCCACAATGGTGAAGGCAAAATGTCCTGGGCAGTCTGTGTCCCTGCATGGCTGGTACTGTGCTGGGAAGGTTTCCTGGAGCCCAGCTGGGGTCAGTGGGAGGTGTCCTTGCCCACGGCAGGAGGGTGGAGCTGGAAGGTCTTTGAGGTGCCTTCCAAACCAAACCCTGCTGTGATGCTGTGATGAGCAGAGGAATGGGCTGAGCACCTCCACAGCTCAAAGGTCAAGGTACTCCCAGGCACCTCCAGAGTGCCCACAGACCTGGTTTCACATCATGGGGTTCACATCCCTGTCTGGGTGATGGGACAAACACCCCTCCTGTGGGCTGGCGTGGGAGAGGAGGAAATCAGAGCACCACCATCGGCGTTACCAGAAAAAGCCGGTGACGTTCCTCTTTTGTTCCACTGAAAGCTGAAATGTCCTCAGCGAACAATGGGCAGCGAGGTGGGCAGTGAGGGACCCCCACTCACACATGGCAAGGGTCCATTGCACGGGGTGGGCACTGGCTGGCACTGAAAGCAGTGGGATCGCCCCATTCCCAGGCACTGTGGTTCAGGAGATGGCTGTTTTGGGGGGAATTAGGGTTTTGCCTCTTCCACCTCAAGCCCAGGATGTGTTGGGGTCCCTGTGGGTGCTCCCACTGGCAGTGAGGAGCTGTGCTGGGGTCCCTGTGCCCCCAGGGACTGTCACACACCTCACTTTGCCCCACTCTGTATTATTAACTGTGTGATTTGAGCCCCGTCTGTCCTCCCCACTTGTGTCCCACCCATGGCTCCAGGGTGCTCCAGAACATCACACCCAGCACCTGTCTCTCCCTCCTGTATGAGGACACAGAGCAGATTCCCAGCTTAGAGTGCTCCTGGCAGGAGAAATTAATTACACAGCGCGTTTGCAAACAGCCCCGTGAATGAGTTTGCCTGGAACAGAGACATCCCCGAGGACATTTAGCGATTTTATAGAGCTTCCCTTTATCTCAGCAATCTCCACGTGCAATAACACGGCCTCCTCAGATCCTCTAAGTGCTCTGAACGTGCTGCAATTTGTACAGGCTGTAATCGACAGGAATTGGGTTGTAATTAGAGTCAGTTGCTGCAGATTGCCGGGTCTGGGATTGCCTGTGCTGCCGCTGGAGCAGAGCCTGCAGCTCCTGTGAGGAGCCCAGGTAGCTGCAAGGATGATTGAGGGCCCTGTCCTCCACCTTGGGACACTTCCCTGTGTCCCCTCAGGGGCCCCCGTGGCACTGTGGTGACGTCTCTCCCTCGCTGCTTCCTCCTTGCTGGTTCCTCTGGCTGCTTCTGCTTTTTAGCCATCACCGAGGGTAGCAAAACTTTCCCTGCCAGTGCTCATTGATCCCCAGGATATTGAGGCCAAGTTGGACAGGACTTGGAGTAACCCATGGATGGGGGACCCTTCAAGGACCCTCCCATCCCAAACCATAATTCCAGGATTCCATAAATCCATAATTCCAGGATTTCCTTCCTTAGCTGGTGGCTGGATAATTTTTCCTGCCACTACTTGGTGTCAGTGATGGGGGAATTACCTCAAACAGTGCCCACTGCAGTGACTTGATTCCTATCATCACAACTCAGCTTTGCAGTTTTCCTGCAGCTTTGAACATCCCATGGCTAAAATTCCCTCATTCAGTTTGCTCTGGTCCAGCTGGTGAGGGGGGCTGGGGGGCTCAGGAGCTCCTGCTCAAGTGGGACAGTGATGAACTGCTTTGAGAGAGTTTTGGGCTGCAGAATCATAGAAAAGAGGCTTTTTTGAAAAAAAGAGTTTTTGTGAGTGGGTCTGTGGACATGGTGGGTGCCAGGGCTGTGGTAGTGCCAGGGCTCACCACTAGATCCATGGATCCAAACACATGAAGGAAACGAATTTTCTCGTGTTCAGGCTTGGTTGTTTATTAAATCTTATCAAAAGTACAGAGAGTTCAGCAACACTTGTAGCCACCAGCTGAAAGTGAGCAAAATGGAGAGAGATCCAGATAGCTACAAGATCTCTTAAAGCTAAACAATCCAATAGAGAATTAACACCTGTATTATTGATACTTTTGACCCAATAACCAAACTCCTGTGACCCCCAGTGCAGCACTGACTGTCCAACCAGAAACTACAACCTGAAACCATGAAGAAGGAAGATGAACAACGAAAGAGACACCACCCAAAATCCTCCATCTTGTCTCATACCTATTATTATATCATAAAAACTTCAAATTTAAAACCCTTCACCATGTGAAATCACACACTTCTATTTAACTACACACCCGTGATTTTAACTCCATCACTTAAATTTGGAAGCTTCTCCAAGGCCTCAGGCCAAAAGCAGAGTTCTTCAGGGGGTCAGTGACAGAAAGCACAGACAGCTCAAAAAACCCAGTTTTTTTGGGATCCAGCACATGGATGAGTATAATTAACTGGGATGGCAGGTGACCCCTGAGCAGAGGCTGGCTGTGCCAGGGAAGGTGTGTGGCACGGTGGCAGCGTGGTGACAGCACAGTGACTCTGGTCATTGCAGGCTCTACGAGGGCAAGGAGGTGGCCGAGTTCCAGTGCTCCCTGCAGCGGTTCTTCCTCGCCCTCAACCAGCTGATGGAGTCCCCCTTGGAGGGTCCCACACTGCTCTCCCAGGTAGGGGTGGTGCTGGGAGGGCTCAGCTCTGGTGTGTGGTGGGAGGGAGGGTGTCCAGGCCAGGCACTGGCTGTCCCCATGCTGGGGTGACACAGTGTTCATTTCTGGGGTGACACTGTCCATCCTGTGTGCAGACCTCCCACGGTGTCAGAAGGATCTGCCACCCTGTGTGCTGTCCCCAGGGTCCCCCCTCGTGCACCCTGAGACCCCAAACCCCTCACTGCACTGGGGCTGTGGTGTGGAGTGGGGTCAGCAGCTCGGTGGCACTGGGCAGATGCTGTCCTGGCCACCCATGTGCTGAAATCTGCAGAAGAAAAATCTGAGGAGGGTTCCTGGGGATTGTCCCCATCCTGGATCTGGCCTGGCCTCATTCCCTGCATCCAGACTGGCACAGGGGGCTGAGGGAAGCAGAGCTGGTGCAGGCTGGATGGGTCTGGCATGGGGCTACACTCTGCATCCCCAGCCTCCCAGATGGAGGGAGGCTCCAGAGGGTGCTGGGGGGAGCCCCGTTTAAAGGCAGCTCTCTGGTGTCTCTGCAGGGAGCAGCCCTGAAATATCTGCCCTCCATCCTCGAGGACGTGTTTGGGATCTTTGACTCCTCTGCTCTGGGGTAGGGTCCCTGTGCCCCCACCATCCCCAGCCCCGTGTCATGCCCAGCACCTGCCACAGCCACCTCTGTCCCCTCGTCCAGCACAGAGCTGGGGGTGAGGGCAGGCAGGGGGGTCTGGAATCACCTCCTGATCCCCTTCCCAGTGCAAAAACAGGAGAGTTCTGCTCAGTCTTAGCAGTTGCCTGTGCTTGGGCAAAGGCTGAGCCTGGGAACTCAGCCCTAGCTGGGTTCATTTTGGGCATTCAGGCAGGGTTTGTCTGCTGGGTGCCTGTGGTGGGCACAGCTGCCCTGTGGGACCATCCTGCCCCATCGAGGAGCTCCCCCCACCCAGCAGCCCCATCCTGACCAGAACCTGGAGCTCCTGGTTTAACTCCTCTCCTGATGGCAGGGCTGTACTGCGGGACTTTGTGGGGAACCTGGTGCCCCAGCGCCTGCTGAAGCAGAAGCTGCAGTCCCTGACTCACATTGCCAGCAGCAAAGCCTTCCAGTCCCACGGTGAGAGGGCTCCTGGTGGCACTGCCCTTGCCGAGCTCACCCAGAGGCCATGGCACACGATGGGGATGAGTCCCTGAGCAGGGATTCTGCCTCATGCCCGGGGTGGCTCCACAGATGGGGACAATTCTCTCATGCCTGTGCCCTCATGTCCCCCCCAGAGTGCCGGGAGCTGGTGTTGCACGTGGCCCTGCCCATCCTGCAGGAGCTGATCCAGGCAGGTGAGGAGGAGGAGGCCTGCATCGAGCTGCTCAGCAGCATCCTGGAAGTGCTGTACCAGGCCCAGAAGGTAAATCAGGAATCAACAGGGCAGTGACCTGAACAAACCCCTCTGAGTGAGGTTAAGCACCAATTCCTGTCCAGGATATGTTTGGAGTTCACTGCAGTCAGCCAGGGGACTGTGGGTGTCACAATCCCAGCAGAAACATGCCCAGGGTGGAGCAAAAACCTCATGCTTTCCACCTCAGTGAGTTTCTGGTGGGTTGCCCAACATCCACAGGGGTGGGGAAGGGGCTTCCAGGCCTCTGATGACACTGACCTGGGGGTGGTGGGGATGTCACCAGCTCTGCAGAGCTGGGAGAAAGGTGAAGGCAAGGAGGAAGAAAGTGAGGGAAGGGAGGAAGGTGAGGGCAGAGAGGAAGACTGGTCGGCTATTGCCAGTCAGCCCCCAGGCAGTATCACACTCCAAAATGAAGTGTGATGGCCCCAAATATGAGGCAGAGACATGGAGGGCACCCACCCACCCATGGGTGGTGGCCTGTCTGCGGTGGGCTGGGGGCATTCCTGGGGGTCTCAGCCCTGTTTGTGGTGATTGCAGAGTGCAGAGAATCTGCGAGCACGGCACAAGGACCGTGGGGATGTGGAACTGGTGAGTGTCCCTGCAGCAACACAATATTTTGGGAATGCACAGGGCTCTATGCTCTGGTTTTCCAGGAGCTGTTCCTGCCCTTCTTGGCTGCTCTGAGGTTCTTTTCGGGGACCCTTTGGAGGTTCAGGTGTCACACCTGCAGTGCAGTGACTGGTGCTGTAGGAGTTGAGTTGGACACTGTGTCCTGGCACGGTGAGGTGGTTCTTTAATCCTCACAGCACCAGGAAGGCCAGGAATGGAATGGAAAGCTCAGAAATTGTGGTGAAATGTCTCGTGTTGGGCTTAACTCTTAAACCTGAAATAGCCTTTATGGAGGGCATGGTGGGAAGCTCTTGGGGGAGGATTCTGCTCTTGCTTCAACCTCTTGAAAGTTGAATCCACCTTTGCCTGCCCAGTGCCAGTGCAGCCATCCCCATCGTCCTTGTCTGTCCCCATTGTCCCTAGCCAGGTGGCCACTTTTCCAGGGAGGTGTACAGAGCTGTACAAGATCCCAAATCCTATATTTATGCTGGAGCACATTGCCTTGCTGTGACTCCAGCTCTGGATCAGGCTCCATTCCCATCTCACCACCCCAATGCCACCAGCCCTCAAATGAGCCACACCATGGGGGGACGTGCCCTGCCAAGTCCCTGACACCTCCTACCTTGCAGGCACAGGTGAAGAAGCACATCCAGGTGATCCTGGAGCAGCTGCTCCACACAGTCAATCGCAGGGTGATCGTCCTGGACCGGGAGAACCCGCTGAGGGTGAGTCCCACTGTGCCACTTCCCTTTGGGCCACACAGAGAGGCACGAGGTGTCCCGACTTTGGGGGTCTGGCTGTGTGTGTCTGGCTCTGCTCCTCGCTGGCCCTGCTGCCAGGACCCAGCAGGATGGGGATGGATGCCAGGGATGTGCCAGGGGAAAGCAGGAGCTGTGCTGGGAGCAGGGCTGGAGCAGGGGGGAGTGGGCAGAGGTGCAGGAAAAGCTGGTTTGGGATCAATGAAGGGTTTGGGCTGCATTTTCTGGAAAACAAGCAACTGAACCCAGTGAACCGTCGCGATTTTACATGCCAAGAACGTGTGTGAGGAGCACGGTGGAGGCGAAGGGAGGCGATCAGGGCTCCGCATGGAGCAGCAATGGGAGGGGATAGAACCAGGGCCAGCTCGGGCTCGGGATCTTCTCTGGGGACGTGCTGGCAAACCCAGGAGCTGCACTGCGTCTCAGGGTGGGCGATGAGCTGTGTTGGAGTGCGTCGTGGAAGCTCGGAGCGGGGAATTGCCGCGCTGTGCCGTGCCACGCTGTGTGCCGTGCCCGGGGAGCTGCGGGCAGCCGGAGCGGCGGCTCTGCCGCCGGGGCCGTGCCGCGATCTCAGCGCCGGGCTGTGATTCAGCCGTGACTCAGGCAGGAGATGCATGCGGGGTCGCACTGGGCTCCATCCTGCTTTTCGTCCTCTTTCCCAGGCTCTGTGACTCAGGGTCTGGGGCAGCGATGGAGGCGAGGGGAGGATGAGGATGATGCAGTGCAGCCCGTGGCAGCACTCCCATCCCAGGGAGGGATCCTTGGCTGTGCCGCGCTCCTGCTGCTCACCTGTGGCTCCACAGGTGCTCCCAGCACTGCCCATGGTTCCCGTGCTGCTGCCGCAGCCCCTGCCCTCAGTCGAGGGTCCCAGACCCTCCGCCCTGGCTGCACCAGCAGCTCCAGCTGCTGGGAAGGGGTGAGAGGACCAAAAATACGCGTGCCCGCACCAGGACAGCGTCCCTCCATCCATCCCCTTGCTCTGGGCAAGAAGGGAGTTGTGTCCCCGGGCCACTTTCCTGCTGCAGTCCCCGAGTGTCCCTGGCACACGGGATGGAGTTTAACTTTTGTGCAGCTTCTGCTTTGGGGTGCTGCGGTGTGGACACCAACTGGAGAGCTGCAGCCAAACCTGCCCACCCTCCATTCCCCTCTGTGGCTGCAGCAGCCGCCCGTGGCCGAGAGTGGCCAGAGCTTTTGGAGGAGGCTGGACGATGTCCCCCTTCTTGAGGTCGGTGGCCCTGCTGGGAGAGCTGTGGCACTCCTCAGGGTGTGCTCAGACACCCTCTGCTGCCGAGTTTCCCTTCTCGTGGCAGCCCCACAGAGGCTGGGATATTTGAGCTCCTCGTTCCTGTCTCCCTACCATGAGCCACTGCATCTTCCCCCATCCCATCCTGCCCAGCCCACCCTTCCAGCCGGGGGTTTTGGGGACAGGTCTCCTCTCTCCATGCCAGAGTCTCATAGAGACCATTTTCCATTGTCTCTGACCAGTGGAAATCCTCGGTGTTCCCAGTTAACCTGCAGGAAGCAATGGGAGGGATGGGTGAGCAGCCCCCGCTGTGGGATAGGCAGTGATTGGAGCCTGGGAACCCCGAACAGAGGGAAATCCAGGGAAACAGCCGCTGCCCCCTCTTCATTCTCATCCTCCTCCAGAACAGAAGCGCACAGGCGGGAGAGGATGTAACAAAAATAGCGTCTCCGTGGAATTTATTGAATTCTCCTTAAATACAGCCGCTGCTCCCCTCGCCGTTTCCACACCCGAGCTCCCCGCGTTCAACGGAATGGTTAAAAATAGAAAAGCTGGTGCTACCCAAACCCTACCGTGGGAGGGAGGGAGGAGAGGTGGGCAGGGGGTCAGTGCTGGGACGGTGCCCAGGGCTCACCGGGCACCGCGCTCACAGGAACCAGAAGCATTTGCGCCGGGATTTCTTCACGTCCAGCTTTGCCGGCAGCCTGGACACGGGCGACAGCTCCTGCCTGGGCGGTGAGGTGGTCCCCGCCGCCCCCAGCGCCACCCCCGCCGCCCCCAGCGCCGTCGGGGGGGAGCTCGGCCCCGTGTCGCCCTCGATGTGGCTCAGCACCCGCTGGAAGCGACCTTCCTGCTGTCGGAAATCGTGCTCCACGCTGCGGCACGCGGGGCGAGGGAACCGTGTCAGGGGGAAGCATGGCATCCCCTTGTCGCAGCCCCCCGTCTGCCACAGCCCCTGGTACCCCAAACACAGCCCTCAGGGAGCTCAGTGTCCCCAAACACAGCCCCGTGTCCCCAACACAGCCCCCGGGGAGCTCAGATTCCCAAACAAGCCTCCAGGGAGTTCCTCCACTCTGGGCAGTCCCCACAGCTAAGCCCTGCTGCACTCCCAAGGTGGCACAGGGACATGGCCAGACTTCCTGGGGTCACTGCACACCCCTGTGAGGGGACATCCTGCTGTGTGTCCCTTCAGACAGCCCCTGGCCACTCCCGTGGGCTGTGAGGGGGGGATCCCTCCCAAACAGCCACCCCATCCCACCGGAGCATCCCAGCCTCCCTTCTGCCAGAGGGACAGACCCAGTGTCAGCCTGACCTCGTGGCCCGGGGTCTTTTGGGGTGGATCCTTCTCAGCTGCCTCCCCTGCCCCATCCTTTTGCTCCATCCTCTGTATCCAGCCCCACTGGCAATGCCATGGCTTTGTGTGTGGACACTGGCTTGGATGGGGACCAGTGCTGAGGTGGGGGGGCGAGCTGGGGGTCTGTGAGACCCCTGTGAGCAATGAGCCCCCTGGAGAGGGGTTGTGTGTCCCAGGGGCCATGGCTGAGCACAGCTGCAGCATCGGGAAGCAGCGAGAGCATGCAAGGCTCTGTTGCTGCTCATCACACGGCTGGAATTAGGGTAGGTGAGGGGGTCTGTGCCCCCCACCACAGCTCTCAGTTTTCCTGCCTATGCTGGAGCTCTCAATGTCCCCACAGGTCCAGGTCCCCGCAGCTGTTGCTGTCCCCTCCAGCCCTTGCTGTGCTCACAGTGTCCCTGCAGCCCCCGGTGTCCCCGCAGCCTCTGGTGTCCCCGCAGCACCCTGTGGTGCGGGCTGGCTGCTGGCAGCCGCGTGCTGCGATGTTCCCTCACACGGAAAACACGTCAATCTCCTCACACCAGCCATGTCCCATCGGATCAGCGAGGTGCCACCGAGTGTGCCCAGGAACGCGCACGTGGCGCGGCCACCTCGCACACGGGGAGAGCCCCAGGAGCCCCCCGGCAAGCTGACACCTCCTGTCACCTCCCCTCGTGAGGACAAGGAGTGTCCCAGCCATTTCTAGAAAAAAGGGTGAGGGGTGCAGGGTGTAATAGGGGGGGCAGTGCAGGGAGGGACCTCAGCTACCCCGAAATGACACAGGGAGGGGTTGGCTCCGCTGTGGGGACAGGGGCAGGCAGGTCTGATCCCCTCCCTGGGCCATCCCTGGGGTCGGGTGCTGTCCCTGCTCCCTCACTCTGTGTCCCCCCAGAGCCTCTCCTCATCCCATGGATAACAGAGAAACTCACAGCGAGTCCCCAGCAGGAGCCTGGCCATTCTGGGGAGCCACCTCCCCCAGATGTGACATCTGTGCTGCTGCCATGCTGCGTGGAGACAGGCTCGTCAGGCCTAATTAGCCTGAAGTCCCCCAGGAGCTACAGGGAGAGTGTGGAGCAAGTGTGTGTGTGGGAGCAGGAGTGCCGAGGCAGCACAGGGACACGAGGGGACCCCAGCCGGGCACCCCCAGCCCGAGGTGCCCTAAGGAGAGGGCACAGTGCTCACAGGGCAGTGGCACATGTGTGCCATAGTGATCAGGCACCACAGAACATGGCTTGAGACCAGCTCACCATGTCCTACACATCCCACTGCTAACAGCATCAGCCTAATTAACAGCAAAACGGGAACACACCTGGCCAGCCACCTGCACTGCAGAGAGACAGAAGGACACCCAGGGGTGCCTGGAAGGGCAGACAGCTTTAGCAAAACTGCAACTCTCCCAATTCCCAAAGATGTCCCAAAGACAATGCTGGGAGGGCATGAGATGCCTTTTCCCACACACTAAATGGGATCTGAGGAAACAGTGCAGCAGAGGAAGGGGCTTCCACACCCTGGCCCAAAGCCAACGCTGGGAAGCAGAACCCGGGCCCTGTGTTCCCAGATTATAGCGAGGGGCAGGAACCCATCTGCAGCATCTGTGTGGAGCTGGCACAGGGACAACAGGATGCAGCCTGGATTTGGAGCGAGCCCACGCACCAGCCGCTAGCGAGGCTTCCCCGATAGATTGCTGTTACAGGAGATAAATGCTCTGCCATTGTGCCAGAGCAGCCTCCTTCCAGATGCTGCTCCTCCATGGAGATCACCCTGGCTGATCCTGGGAGCAGGAGCTGCTCCCCGTAGGGAGGAAGGGACAGATCCAGCCCAAGTGACAGCCCAGACACCCAAGGGTGGTCTGTGTGTGATGCCCCCCAACATGGGGACAGGAGATGCAGGCTTGACTGTCACCCTCCCTCCTGCCTCACAGCCAGAGGAGAAGTCTGGGAGTGCCGGGAAGCAGAACCCGTGGGATGCTCGGAGCCAGGGCTGGCCCTCACCTGTAGATGATGCAGGCACAGTCCCGGCAGGTCCCGCAGTTGGCGATGTCCTGCCCCGTCCGGTACGAGTGTCGCCTGTGACAGAGATGTGCTGTGAGCTTGGAGACTCAGTCTGTGTCCTCTGCTGCCCCTGCTCCCTCGTGTGCCTCTGGGTTCCCACCCCAGCAGCCAGGACTCTTCTCACTGGATCCCAGCTCCTTTTCCCCCTGGGACTCAGACCCCTTCTCCTCCTGAATCCCAGTTCCTCTTCCTCTTTAGGATCCATCTCCTCTCCTCCCTGGATCCCATCCCCTTTCCTTTCTGGCATCCCAGCCCCTCTCTTCTCATGTGATCCCAATTAATACCAAGCCAGGTGTTTCTCAGCTTCACAGATTTCCTGATGGGAGCAAAGCAGTGCTGG